CCCCCCCCCCCCCCCCCCCCCCCCCTCACGGCGCTGCTGACATCCTGCTACCGCTCAGGCACGCAAACTCGTCGAAGCCTTCTACTGTCGGCAGCAATCAGGGCAGCCCAGGGCAGCCATGAGCTTATCCAAAGGTGGCGGACAGCTCGTGTTTGTGCATGTGGCGGTATTAGAATGGTACGCCTAATTCGGCATAGTAGCTTTTGGCGTTCAATGAGGTTGCGAAGATCAACACGTGGGGGAGCGAACGGCCATGGTCGACTACCAGACGGGCCAGCCAACTCCAGGGCTCGATTCAGCCACGCGTGGCTTTCCCTTGGAATCTCGGAAGATGTTTTGATGCAGCCTGCACGAACTCACAAGGAACCGGATTTCATAAATCAAGATGCTGTTGCCCACTCATCGCAGCGTTCGCAGCTGAACGACCTCGGAAGCATCGCAGACGGGAGGAGCCGGAGAATGCACCATGATTTGGACATCAGCGGCAATCACACATTCCAAAGGACTCCAGTGATGAAGGCCTGGACGCTTGGATCGCGGCAATGAACGCCACCAAGCCTGCCCAGGTGACTTCGGCGAACCAAACGAGATTGGATGCGCTGATTGAGAACGCACGAATAGCGCCAGTTCGCATGCGTCCTCTTCTGTTGACCGGTTTGCCTTGTGGTATCGGGCCATGCACGCTGTCTGAAATCTGCCTTCGGTAGTCCGTGTCATGGTGGAGGCTGAAGCTTTGCGCATTCACAATATGAAAGATGCTGCCCCAAGGCGGTTCTGCACGACAGACTCCGTTACATACTGACTATTGCCGGAACCCTCGCACGTAGGTACAACTACCATACTGTTACAGTTCTGTCACCCCTATCGCTACAATGGGCCTCCGTAAATGGATCATGCGTCCAATGAGAGGCCACCAAGTTGGGGTGCCGGACATAACAACAGGCGGGAGCGGTATACCGGTAGGTTTCCCTCTGCCACTCGTAGTAGTCCTAGGATCCATCTTCTCTCGCTAATCTGATGGACAGGAGATAAGGCGTCGACGGTGGACTCTCGCGACGATTGATTCAGCGCCCTTCCAGGTCTGGGTAGTAGTAGTAGCTGGGATCGGCTTCCTAACAGATTCGTTCGGCCTTTTTGCTTTGAATGTCGTTACCCCCATGCTCGGTTATGTCTACTGGCCTAATCGCAACGAAGGCGGTATACCCTCGGTGCCGTCCTCTGTCAAGACAGCCATGATGTGTTCCACACTAGCGGGTACAATGGTCGGCCAGATAGGATTCGGCTTCGCGGCAGACATATTGGGCCGACGAAAAATGTATGGTCTTGAGCTGGTAATCGTCATCGTTGGCACAATGCTGCTGCTCATGAGTTCGAACGGGGAGAAGAACAGCATGGCAATTGGAGGATGGCTGATCACCTGGCGAGCGATCATGGGTAAGAAGCGAATTGATGTACGAATGCATCGTAAGACTGACGATAACTAGGGATCGGTATCGGGGCGGACTACCCTTTGAGTGCTGTAGGTATTGTTTCCAACGTGGCCGTGCTGATGCTAATCGTGGGTTCAGGTCATTACTGCCGAGTTCGCACCTCGCAAACATCGTGCGCGAATGTTGAGCTGGGTTTTCTTCGCCCAACCTGTTGGACAGCTGCTCGCCAATGTTCTATCACTTGCTGCAGTGGAGTCGTACAAGCCATGGATCAAGGAGGCCACGCAGTCTTGTCAGCCTGCCGACTTGGAGTGCTTCCGAGCTATCGATCGACTTTGGAGGCTCGTAGTTGGGATCGGCATTGTGCCGGCTCTCATCGCTCTGCTCTTTCGATTCACGATACCAGAGAGTCCGAGGTATACGCTGGACATCTTGCAAAACACAAAAAGCACCCTCGAAGATACGGCGAACTACTTTGGTGCGCCCGGAACAGACCCCGAACATGGCGAGAGGGAACTGCTAGATCTGGCTGCAACACAGGAAGTTCCGAGGCCTGTATCGAGGCAATCGACCAACGCTTCGGCGATTGCACCCGACGAGGAGATTGAGAGCGACAGTGACTCCGGACACCGACTCAGTGACGTACATCTTCGTCCCGCCGCAGTGCCTCGCGGCCGGCTTCCTCCAGGCGACCCGGATTTTGTTCCTCCACTTGCCTCGTGGGCCGACGCAAAACAATTCTTTGTAGCGGAAAAAAACTGGCAGTACCTTCTAGGAACGTCGTTGGCCTGGCTGTTTCTCGATTTCGCGTGTAGGTACACTGCCAGACCACTGCGGTAAAACCACTGACTTTGAGACAGTCTATGGGTTGGGCCTCTCTTCACCAGAAATTGTCAGCCACATCTGGCAGGGAAACAACAACAGCAGATCTTCCGTCTACCAGACGTTGAGTGATAATAGCAAACACACCCTGGTGATGGTTTCCATAGGGACAGTTGTCGGCGGCCTGCTAATGATCAAGATTGTCAAGCATGTGTCGCCAAAAGTGATTCAGTTCTGGGGGTTCTTGGTTCTATTCGTTCTCTTCATCGTAACCGGAAGTGCTTGGACCAACCTACTCGACAGCAGTCGCTCGGGACTCATTGTGCTTTACGTGCTCAGCCACATCGCCTTCAACCTGGGACCGAATGTGACGACTTTTAGTAAGTGATATCCGTGTGCGACCTGTTGTGAAATATCTACTAATTTCGTGCATCAAGTTATCCCTGCCGAGATATTCCCTACGAGGTACCGGTGCACCTGCCACGGCATAGCTGCGGCTAGTGGCAAACTCGGGTGAGGACAAACCGCGGAAGAACTGCATATGAGACATTTACTGACTTCGAAAACTCGCACCATAGGTCTTGGGTGGTGCAAGTCTTTCTGGCATATGCATTCCAATCCGACAAATCCGAACCCACTAGCGATTTTGAATGGGAACGCAAGAATTTCGGACATATCCTGCAAGTAATGAGCGCTTTCATGCTAGCAGGTGCCGTAACAACATATTTCTTGGTCCCGGAAACAAGAGACCACGATAACAAGAGTCGGACACTGGAGGTTTTGGCGTGTGGCAAGAAGGTTATCGATGAGCTGAACCGCCAGCGGAAGAAGGAAGATGAAGACGACTGAGATGGATTGTACCAGAATGAACTTGATGAAGTTAGGGAAGATACGGTAGTCGGTTGCGGATGATGAAGCAATGGACAAGCGTAGTAGCGTAGTCGGCTGAATGTTGATGATGCAGTACCCAGCCACCCGGCCCCACATCCCTCCAGGGCTGGTCAATGACGCAGGAGGCACGTTTGGCGCTAATTTCGTCCGGAGCTACGCAGCTTCTTCTGACCCTCACGTGCTGCTATCTTGAGTACCCACCATTGCGAAGCCTGGGCCCCGAAGACGATGGTGTGCTTCCTTCCATCAGATTCCATCGGAGGATGCTAGGAAA